GAAGCGCACCCTGGCCCCTGGATTCTACCTGGTGCCGGGTCTTCTGTTTGCAAAACCTGATTGATTTTCTCTCTCACTACACACACACACACCTGTGTACACACCTGCCCCTTTCCTTAGACTAGAATATAACCTGCTGTTGATCGATACTCCCAACTTACTTCTCCATTAATCTAGGATGCTTTTATGAATGTGCTGGTAGGTACTATCTTTTTTTTTTTTTTTTAAGGTTTTTGCCATAGGGCATGTGTGCTCTCACCAGAGAAAGAGACAGTGAGAGGGAAAGCTATACATCATCCTCCAGAGGTGATGGAACCCCCCAAGCCCTTCTCCTCCATGTTCCTCTCCGGAGTTTGGGCACACATGCACATGCGCCCGTTGTGATTTTCAAGCTATTGGGTCCGGGGCTTGAACTACAGCTGGGAGTGGTGTGCCTTGACAACCATGCCACCTGCTGGCCCCAGTACTAAATATTTGTGGGAATTTATGCTCCGTGTAGTCATATAGATCTAGTAGGTCAAGCGTGTTAATGATGTTATGCAAATCCTCTTTATCCTTATTTATTCTTCCTGATCTGCCCGTCCTTAAAAGGTTTTGCAGATTTCTATGATAGGATGCATTTGGCAATTTCCTCCTGCATCTGAGTCTTTGCGTGCTGTTATGAAGTCTTGTAATTGGATATTACATCGAACCACCTAAAATTGCCACTGGCAATTATCCAACTATATGAAGGCATGCAGCTGTCTTCTTTCTTGGTAGAGGGAGACTTATCAAAATTAACCATCACCAACCCTTCTAAATCATGTTTTGCCTTGAATTTCCTTTTGTCTGATAATATTTTCACAAGGGCTCATTTTTCTGTTAATGGTTGACCACTACCCTATTTTCCTAATTTTTAAAAATTCATTTATTTCTTCCATGAGTGAGAAAGACACAGAGAAAGAGAGAGAGAGAGACAGCACCCCACCAAGGTCCTGAAGCCAGCTTCAGTCGGTCCCAAATCATGAGCTCTCACATGGCAGGCATACTTAGGGAGGCCTCTAGATGCAAACCCAGAACCTTCCCACACGGGTCAGCCTCACAGACCGTTTTCCCACCATGCCACCATCTGTCATTCTTTTTCCAAAATGACTAAAAGACTGATAAAATCCTGTGCAACTGAAATGAAGAGAAAAAGGGCCCTCTTCATACACTATTGGTGGGAACATAAATTGCTTCACCTTTTTGGAAGTAAGTTAAATTTCCTCGTAATTTATTAAATGACATATTTAATGTATTGATTTACAAGTTTAAATATATAAACCTTTGATTTGTAAATTCCATTTTTTTAAGAATTACTTAGTTATATTGATTTATAATTATTATTATTTTAATTTGCTATAGGGCATATGTGCTCACCAGATAGAAAGAGAGAGAAAGGGGAAGTGAGAAAACATGCCACCAGGTCCGGGACTCAAACTGCAGTTGGCTATGTGGGCACCTTTAACTGCCTTGTCACACGCCAGCCCTCTTAAATTCCATTTCTAATTATCTTATAAACTATATACCATAGAAAAATTACAACTCAGAAAGGTCATGAAAAATGCACATTGTGAAAAATATTTTTAAAAATATTTCTTTCATGGGAACCAGCAGTTAGCGTAATGGCTATGTCGCTGGATTCCCATGTAGTCGACCACGGTTCGCGTCCCGGACCCGGTGGCTTAAAACTCACGCTGGGCGCGTGTGCGTGTGTGCCCAAGATCCCGAGAGGAGAATGGAGGAGAAGGGATTGCAGCGTGACCATCCCCCCTGGGGGGCGATTTCTAGCTTTCTGTCTCTATGTCTCTCTCTGTCTGGTGAGCGCACGAGCCCTATAGCGAAGAAACCTCTAAAAAAAAAAAAAAAATTTCTTTCATGAGAGAGAAAGAGCAACTCCAACAGATCTTGACGCTGTGATCCACCCAGCTCTCAGTCAGTCCCAGATTAAGGGCCAGCCCGGTGTGCTTAGAGCGATCTCTGGATACGAACCGGAAACCCCTCCGTGTGAAATTGCCCTGGAGAGCGTTGTGTTCTCACGGTGCGTCTCTGTCTGGCCCTGGATTTAAAAAAATTTTTTTTGCACCAAAGCAAGCTCATACTCTAATTCCATTTTTTCATTAACTTTTCAAAGGTCTCCCATATATAAGGGTTTTATTACTATATTATGATTATGAAAAATTGGAAAACAACCTAATTTTTTCCCTATATTATCTTAACCACATTTTCGACTTTCTTTTCTTTTTTTGAATTTGCCATCCATGTCTCCTCATCTAGGAAACTGTAACAAACTATCTTTTCAGTGGCCTTGTCTTTTGATCTGTTGAGGTCACCACGCCTGAATAAAATTAAAATCTACATTTAAAAACATATGTATTAAAATTCTTTAAAAAGAATTATTTTATTTAACTTTATCTATTTATTTATTTTTAATTTTTTTGACCAGAGAGGGACAGAGTGAAAGAGAGAGAGAGAGAGAGGGAAAGTGAGAAAGCTAGCCACCAGGTCCAGGACTCAAACTGCAGTTGGTCATGTGGGAGTCCAGCCCCCTTAACCACCCGCCACCTGTCGGCCCGTATTAATTTTTTTTTTTCCGGAGGGCATGTGCACTCACTGGAGAGAGACAGAAAGTGAGAAAACACCCTTCATGGAGGAACGGTCATGCTGCAATACCTTCTCCTCCATTTATCCTTCCTTTGGGATTGTGGGCATGCATGCCCCTCCTTTTGGGATTTTGGGCACACACACACACACACACACGCACCCAGTATGTTTCTGAAACTGCTAGGTCTGGGGCTTTAACTGCTGGGTTGGCCATTTGAGACCCAGCTACCTTAACCACCATGCCACTGGCTGGTCCTATATATGCTTTTGTTTTCTTTTGTTTTTGCCATGGGTATGTGTGCTTGCCGGAGAGAGACACATGCAAAGTGAGAAATCACCCCCCAGGAGGGATGACTACACTGCAGTCCCTTCTCTTCCATTCTCCTGGGATCTTGGGCACACACACATGTGCTCAGCGTGATTTTCAGGCCATCAGGTCCAGGACCCAAACTGTGGTTGGCCATATGGGAGTCCAGTACCTTAACCACCTGCCACCTGCTGGCCCTATTTATTCATTTCTTTAAAAATCTGATGAATACAGATAGTATGTAGTTGGGAATCCTACTGGGGAGAGTGCCATCTTCAGGTAGGGGAGAGGCAGAGGATTACACTGTGTATTGTTTGGTTTATTCATGTAATAAGAATCTGCTACTTGCATGCTTTAAAAAAAAGAGGATTTGGGGAACAGCAGTTGACGTAATGGCTACCTTGCTGGACTCCCAGGTAGTCAACTGTGGTTCAAGTCTCAGACCTGGTGGCTTAAACTCACACCTGGCGCATGTGCGTGTGTGCCCAAAATCCCGAGAGGAGAATGGAGGAGAAGGGATTGCAGCATGGCCATCCCCCCTGGGGGGTGATTTCTCGCTTTCTGTCTGTCTCTGTCTTTCTGGTGAGCGTACACACCCTATAGCAAAAACCTCTCAAAAAATAAAAAAATAAAAAAATAAAAAAAAAAGAAATCCAACCCCTTAAAAGAAGAATTTTTCCCCCCACAGGTTTTTTGCCTTAGGGCACATATGCTCACCAGAAAGATGGAGATAGTGTAAAAAAATATGAAAAATCACCCCCAAGGGGGATGGCCATGCTGCAATCTCTTCTCCTCCATTCTCCTCCTGGGAGCTTGGGCACACACACACACACACATGCAACCAGCGTGATTTTCAAGCCACTAGGTCCAGGACTTGAACCACAGTCAGTCATGTGGGAATCCAGAGACGTAAGGACTACAACACCTACTAGCCCCCAAAGGGTATATTTTATTTACTTATATTTTGACTTTTTTTATTCCATGAGCAATATAGACAGGGAACCAGCACCCCCAAGAGGCTCTCAACGCTGCAGTCCACCCACAGCTGCAGCCAGCCCCAGATCAGGGCACAGCGTGCCGGCATACTCAAAGAGGTCTCCAGATGTGAGCCCGGAACCTTTCCACGAGAGTCAGCCTCTAAGAATGATCACATTTTACCGCTGCCCCACTGTTCGGCCCCTGTCTCCCATGTAACTACTATAGGCCGCGACATCTTCATTTCTTTAGAAAACAGTTTTTTAATTAAGAAAAGTTTTTGGGGGACCAGCAGATGGTGTAATAGTTATGTCGCTGGACTCCCACTTACTTGACCACGGTTCGAGTCCTGGATCCAGTGGTTTAAAACACACCAGGTGTGTGTGTGCATGCCCAAAATCCTGAGAGGAGAACGGAGAAGGGATTATGATGTGGCCATACCCGCCAGGGGGGTGATTTCTTTCTTTCTTTCTTTTTTTTTTTTTTAAAAAAATTTTTTTTTTCTTTTTTTTTTTTTTGTCTCTCCAGCAAGTGCACACACCCAATAGTAAAGAAAAAAACAAAAAACAAAACAAAAAACCTCTCTTTAAAAAAAAAAAGTTTTTGTTCTTATTAAGAATTTTATGTGTGTGTGGTATGAATCCAACACATCTACCCTCTTAACCGATTTTTAAGTATTTCTAATACAGCATCAGGACAATGTTATATGGCAGATCTCTAGAAGTTATTAATCTTGATAACTAAAACTTTATACTCTCTGAACTCAGGTCTTCAGGGTTTTCAGAGGTAAAGCCTGGTGGAACAAGAATTTATACTCCAGAAGAAACAAACAAACCTTCTTGTGGGAACATCAGCAAAAAAAAAAAAAAAAAAAAGATAGCAAAATTGGACATCCAAGAACTTGGTCATTGGTATTTAGAAGCAGAATTTGCCTTTTGCTGCCAGACCGCCGCCATCATGGGTCACATGCACGCTCCCAGGAAGGGCCTGTCCCAGTCGGCCCTGCCCTATCACCGCAGTGTCCCCATGTGGCTGAAGTTGACGTCTGACGACGTGAAGGAGCAGATTTACAAACTGGCCAAGAAGGGTCTGACTCCGTCACAGGTTGGTGTGATCCTGAGGGACTCACATGGTGTTGCACAAGTACGTTTTGTGACAGGCAATAAAATCTTGAGAATCCTTAAGTCCAAAGGACTTGCTCCTGATCTCCCTGAAGATCTCTACCATTTAATTAAGGAAGCCGTTGCTGTCCGCAAGCATCTGGAGAGGAACAGAAAGGATAAGGACGCCAAATTCCATCTGATTCTGATTGAGAGCACAATTCACCGGTTGGCTCGCTATTATAAGACCAAGCGAGTCCTCCCCCCAATTGGAAATATGAGTCATCCACAGCCTCCGCCCTGGTTGCATAAATTTGTGCATTCAAGGAATAAAATCATCATTTAGCTAAAAAAAAAAAAAAAAAACAGAATTTAAAAAATAAATATTCAAAATCCTGAGAGAAGAGTAGATATTAGATGGGACGGCAGTGTGGCCATCCCCTCTGGTGTGTGTGTGGGGTGATTTCTCACTTTGTCTCTCTCTCTGTGTCTCTCTCTGGCGAGTGCATGTGCCCTATAATGAAAGTTAATTTTTTTTAATAAATTTTTAAAAAGTATGAGTTAAAAAGCTTAATGAGGGACCAGCAGACAGAGTAATGGTTACGTCGCTGGACTCTCACATAGTCAAGTACAGTTCAAGACCCAGAGCCAGTGACTTAAAACTCATGCCGGGCATCTGCAAGCATGCCCAAGATCCCAACTGGAGAACAGAGAGGAAGGGATTGTGACATGGCCACCCCCCCCCAGGGGGGATTTCTTTCTTTCTTTCTTTCCGCCTCGTAATGGCCCTATAGCAAAAACTTCCGCTCAAAAAAAAAAAAAAAAAAAAAGCTTAATGAAACAAAATAGATCAAAGCATGGGACAAGATGCTATCAAAAAAGGATTCCAGGGCCCGGCCTGGCTTGGTAGTGAAGGGAGCCAGATCCCACTAGACCAAGCAAGAGCTGTTCATGCCTAGAATCCTGACTCTTCCACATCTAGGAAAACTGGCGTTCTCAGGACGGCGATTCAGAATCACATGACTTCAGGGGTAAGCAAGCAGGGAAAACACACTAAATACCTTGGAAAACTTTATTATCCCTGCCAACATCTCTTGGGACATTTTATTCATGGAATAGATGACAATGAGAAACATGTGGCTTCACATTACTTTCTAAAAACCAGTAAGAAAGCTATTTAGAAAAAAGGAGATAGTTTGTTTTTTTTAAAAAAAACATTAGAAACACCAAAAACTGAGAATCCCACCCCGTGGAACGACACAATCGAGATTCAGACCACCAGAGAGAACCCATTCAAACTAGAGCTCTCCATTTCTTTAAGCACTTTTTTTCTTAGACTCTTCCAGAAGCATTTCCCAATGATCAAGAGGTCTTGGCTGGCTCATTTCTCTAGTGACTGAGAAGCTGGGAATAAAGCTCAGTAAGGCTTCATCTCGGAGACCAGTTACCTCTGAATAGTTCGAGCCAGGACAGAAGCTGACGGAGAGGGTCAGGAC